TTCCTACTATCACTGTCAGTAAACAAACTGAAAGAACTTTGAATCTCAAGTAATCAAAGAAAAAGAAGAAAAAACAATGTATCCAGCCTCCAGCCTCTAAGTTGCAGTGTAACTGCTTTTCCTCCTGTTGTTACCAATTATATTGAAGAGGGGTTAAAACAAAAACAAAAAATAGTTTCAAGATCATGATTATGAGAATGCAATATGCCAGATACCACAGAATCAAAGGGGCTGTTGCATTTATATTTTTAGAAGACTTCTATTATCATATGCCTTCATATTGAATGAAAATATTCATGTGAACTTAGCCATTCGATAGCAAAATGGTGCCCTGGAATATGATAGTTTTATATCACCTATAATTGGAATTTTCTCTTAAATGCTGTTATGTTGCTTTATTATGAGAAGAGAACAGGAGTGGATCCAGACGGGAAGAGTGAAGAATGCCACGAGTGGACACTAAAAATGTGTATTCCAAGGTATGAAAGTTAGTCCAGTTTCTTGGGTAAATTAAGCAGTTATCTATAATCAGCAGTAGCAATACAGGAAGATGGTGGAGGAGAATGCTTTAGTGACAATGCCAAAAGTATAAGAATAAATATTAAAAATGATGTATTACTAGTTTTAAGATATAAACTATATTTTGTTGAATATACAATGCTTTATGCTGCTTTTTTAAGCCAAATGTGTTTTTAAATAACATATTAATACCGTATATAACTACATAGCAGTGCACACTATGTTAAAAAGAAAAAAATATACCTGAATCATACATCAGAAACTGACCTTCATCACATTTTTATGACACAGAAAATTATGATTTGGTATCCAGAGCCTTCTCTATAAACAGATAAGTACAGCTAGAAAATGACTTGGTTATGTATATATCACTTTTACATCAACCCCTGGAGAATATAATTAAATTGTTCCAGTTGTTCAATGGAGTGAAAACGTCATTGCAGCAAGTATCTGAACTGGGCTATAAGGATAGGAAAAGAGCTAAACAAAGCCCCAGTTGAGTCTTGGATGGATATTTATAATACTATTAAGTTAAACAACCAAAGTTAAGTTCTACAGAATAATACGAGAGTTTTAAGCGAAACTCTAATTTTATTGTTGAAATTAATGGGAGTTAATTAAGGTAATGAGTTATTAATATAGTCTTATTTACATGAGAGTAAGACATATCAAAATTTGTAAAATTTTATAGTATGTATATATGCACTGTTTTGATACGTATAATCCATTCTGTGCAGAAAGAATATTTCATGAATGGATAATTAATAATACAAATGGTAAATAGTAAATGTCTTGATAAGTAATGAAATAAATCTGCATTACACAAAAAACTCGTATGTGTGTATGTGCTGATACGGTGTCAGCCTCTGTTTTGCTGCTTGCTTTCGGCTGCCATTGAAACGGGGAGGGGGGGCATTGTTTNGCAGTTAATATTTTTTCTTAGAAGGTCAGCAAGACTAGAAACAGACACTCACAAACTCTCTGTAAGCGAAAACAAACTTCAAAGGGACAGCTGTAAAATCTTATCAGATCTTAAGCCAAACAGCCAAGCAATAAAAGCTTAGAATGTTGAAGTCAAAACAATCCATCTGTAGTTTACAGAAAGTCACAAAGAAATGTTAGCAGAAGAATCCATCCATTTGAAAAGGTTTTGCTTAGATTCAATCCATGTAAATAGCATTTAGAAAGTAAGATAACCACTGTTCAGAACCATTACAAAAATCAAATTCGCCGCTAGGTTCTTCTATTCTTTGATTTAAATTAGTTTTTAGATTTTATAGGCCGTTTTTTAAAAATAATAAAAGTTTCTCACCAGCTAAAAACACTTTCTCTTTCCACATCGTTCCGTTCCGTTCTGAGGCCACCCTGACTTTGTCAGTCTTGACAGACTGGAATTTTTATTACTAGCAGAAGATTTTTCCTTGCCTTTCTCGGAGATTTTGCAATATCCCTGAGATCAGCAAGATGTAATCTTCCTGTTCACCATATCTTCGGGATGATTTAGGTCTGTTGGAACCCCCCAGCAATAAAAGTGTCGACTGCGGTCTCAGAGCTTTGAGATCGCACGTCGTCTCGTCACGGCTTCGGCCCCGCCCTCAGTTTCTAATTTTTATTATCAATGTATATGTTAAAAAAAAACACTTTCACTTAAAGCAAAATGTTAATAAAATAGAGAAAAACAACTAACTTCTTTTATTCTGTTACAATTCTTTGTGCTAAAGACTCAGATACATATTTATTTCAATATATTTAGATCTCTGCACAAGATTATCCTACAAATGCTGCCAAGACAAATTGCTTCTCTTCCTTTATAATTTCCCAAAAGTTGAAAAAACAAACAAATAGGAAAATGACTATCAGTGGGACTAAAGGACAGCTGGTGTCATGTTTATCCATGACAATAATGAACTTTCAATCTGGTTGCTTTCAGCCAAGGGACATAAGCTGAAACAGAGCTCTCCAAGAATAAAACCACTTTAAAATTTAACTGGAGCAGATGCTGATGTTTGTATTTTAGACAGTAATCACTTTCAATTAAGATCAAGTGTTAAAGGTTAAATATAATTTTACAGGTTACTGTATGCAACTCAGTTTGAGGATTGTGAGGCATTCCTTTTTTTCTCAAAGTTGGGTGAGGAAATTATCTCTTCCACAAATCCGAAGATACTTATCTACTATGACATATAATAGAACATGGAAAAATTAAGGGGCATGAAAACCTAAAAATGTTCGGTTTTCTTAGTGTATTAGTTTACACTAATAGCTGCAGACAGTAATTCTATAGTGAATTCTTTCTTATATTTATTTATTATTTAGCATATTTTAGATAGCTGGCCATCTCACAAACACGTGATTCTGGATGGTGTACAATGAGCAATATTAACAGGAAACTTTTCAGATATGTGCTTGATTCATACTCACAGTTACATCTCAGAAGCAAAATGTGCAAAATCTGAAAATAAAAGGTTATTCTCTTCCATAATGTTTTTGAAAAGAAATATTATTGTATTATTAATAACAAAACATATTTGCTCTCTGTGTTTGTATTTTTCTCCCAGCAATGGAGATCAACTTATTATAGAGAAATAGCAAATCTCATTCCTGCTAAATTTCCCCTGCACTGTTTATTTTGTTGGCATATAAACTATATAAGCATGGTGGCTCAATGGCTAAGACACTGAGCTTGTCGACCAGAAAGGTCGGAAGTTTGAATCCCTTGCACTGCGTAATGGAGTGAGCTCCCATTACTTATCCCAGATTCTGCCAATCTAGCAGTTCGAAAGCATGTAAAAATGCAAGTAGAAAAATAGGGACCACCTTTCGTGGGAAGGTAACAGCATTCCATGCACCTTCGGTGTTTAGTCATGCTGGCCACATGACCATGGAGATGTCTTCAGAACAGTGCTGGCTCTTCAGCTTTGAAATGGAGATGAGCACTGCCCCATAGAGTCGGGAATGACTAGCACATCTGTGCAAGGGGAATCTTTACCTTTACCTTTAATATATATGAAAACAGAAAGCTTTATAATGCTATCCATAAATTTTCAATATCCAGTTAAAAATGTATTCTGATTTTGCTTTTAAATGTTCGGTTCTCTATGTATGTTTGTAAGAGTGAATAAGCAAGCATGTTCTTAGAGCTTGATATTATATTAGCAATAATACTGGAGGATATTACATATTCTGCAAATTCTTAAATTGTATAAGGCTAACAAATATTGAACACTTGTATTGACTTTCATACTGATAAATAATTGTATTGACTATAGGAGAAAGAATGGCAGAGTATAGAGTTGAGTTAAAAGAGGGATCAGCTCAGAATCGCTACATAGCCACAAGCGGACTAAATCTAACTGCCCTCTTGAATTCCATGGACCTTTATATAACTTCAAGCAGGTGCTAACTGTTGGTTGAGTAAATTCCTGTGAATAGGCTGTTTAGCAATAAATCTGTTTAATTAGACCTCCATGTGTAGACCTGATCTTTCACAGCTAACACATGTTTTTGTAAAATACTCATCCCACAAGCATTATCCAAATAACATTAGCACTGCATCCATTTATTGGACAGCAAATTTAAAACTTCAGACATATCTTAAATGCCATTTTGATAGAAATCCATAAGAGACATGAGAAAATATAGAAAATGAAGTTATTTATAATGTAGTGTAATACAGAGAAACTTTAAAATGTCAACAGTACAAATAATATGCTTTTTCGATGTTTTCCCAAGTCTAATTGCTTATAACATGCTTGAAAAATGAAGCTTACTATCTAAAGCCAAGAAAGTTATTATGTTGTTCATCTTAATGGATGAAGTATCATTTTAGTTTCAGAATAAATATAACAATTCCTCTAAGTTTCTAGTGCTTTCCCCAACTTGGTATGCTTCAGAAGATTTGGATTAAGTCCCAAGCAATTTAGCTAGCACCGTCAATGGCTAGGGAAGATCCAAGTAGCTATTGAAAGCAAGATAAATTGAGAAAGGTTGCCCATATAATTCCTTAAAAGAATCTAGAACAACTTGCCTCTGTCTAGAACAGTGGTTCCCAACCTTTTTTGGCTATGCTCCACCCAAGCATCTCTAAAATCCTGATCTCTCCCCCCCCCCACCGTGACATATAATTCTTACTTTACTCAAAAGTGAACTCTACTCATGCAGAGGAAACCTAAAAGGCCATTAATTTGGTTTAAAGATGGTTCAAATTGCCACCATTAGAAATCAAATTGTCCCCTGTGGGCCATGGGCCCCACATTGGGAACCACTGGTCTAGAATAATAAATAATAGTCATTGTCATCTTTCATCCAGAGTTCAGGCAGCATTGCCTTCTTCAACTGTCCTCCTTACGATCCCGAGGAAACAGACTGGATCAAGAAAGNTACTATCTACTCATGACCAGTAAAAGTACTCTTAATTCTGCAAAATGGAGTTGAGGTTTCTTTCTTGGTTACTGAGTGAAGCAGCCTTGACATACGGTTTACTTTTTTTCATGTATGAGTGAAAAGCTTTCAGTCATATTTTTTCTTTCTTTCTTTCTTTCTTTCTTTCTTTCTTTCTTTCTTTCTTTCTTTCTTTCTTTCTTTCTGTCTTTCTTTCTTTCTTTCTTTCTCTTTCTTCCTTCCTTCCTTCCTCTCTCTCTTTCCTTCTCTTTATCATTCATTCAATTAATCAATCAATCAATCAATTTGTATAGCCATCTATCTCAACAAGGTGACTCTGGGAAGCAGCCAAAATTAAAATGAAATAAAAACAACTGCAACAATACAAAATTTAAAATACATAACAGTCAACAAAATATTATATCCCTTAATCACGAATACCACATAGAAATGGGTCTCTGGCACACTAAAGGCCCTATCCATCCATGATCCTCCCCAATTTTATTTCATTATTTAGATCCTTTTAACTAAAAAAATAAAAGGGACGTAATCCTTGGCATGACGTAATCTTTGTTTTCAAAACTACCCAGCACATTCCTGGAGCCAGTAGATAAGGGCTGCAAAAATTCCAAATTTCCCCAGTAACAAAAAAAAAATGGTTTTGGGTGTTTGCAATATCTCTCAGTAGTTTGAAGTAATGGAGAATTTTGAGTCGATGTACTTGCAGGCACTAAATCCAGTTTTATCTTATTATGTAATCTTTTTATATCTGCAAGTAAAGCCAACAGAAACATCTTTTCTAAAGACTAGAATACGGGTGTTATTAGCTGCCACAATGAATTTTGCCTATGCTGAATGTTCTTGATAGAGTATGCTTCAAAAGTTCACTTAGCTAGACAGCTGTATTTACATATTATAGAAAGAAAGCATTTACCTTAGGAAGTTCTTCAATTTGATTGGCATCCAGATAAAGCTCCTCTAATGTCCGTTCAAAGTTAAAAACCTCCTTTGGCACTTGCTGAAGGCTGCAGTGGGAGTAATCAAGCACTGAGACGATTTCTTCTTCCCCTCGAAAACATCGGCATGGCACCAGGCGGCCAATAATTTTCCTTTTAGTTGTCATCTCCAAATGCTGCACTAAAAATAAAAAAATAATAAACTACATTATTTTCCAAAAACACTAACCATTTGAGTAGAAAAATAATTAACCAAATGTCCAAAATCATTTCAGAAGAGAATCAACAAATTCTAGAAAATAACAACCCATTTCTTTTAACACGGAAAACCAGTATCAATTTACTAAGCACTTTCTGTTCATTGCTTCTAACGGTGATGGTTTTTGTATATAGTTCATAAACTAATGTAGAAGATTCCATGCAATCACTCCAGAACCTGTGAATATGTTGTTCTACAGTTTCCTTAAGTACTGTTAAAGCATATTTAGAATCAGAAAGCCAAATAATTTTTCTTTTTTCTTTTTAATCTATAGTCAGAAATATGAGTAGAAATTCCAAAACTAATTGAGAAAGAAAAAAATTTAAGATGTATGTTGAAAGTATAACGAATAAACCAGGGAACGACTGTTTCCATAATTTACAGATGATTATAATTTGAACCTGAATCAATTCTTTATTTTACTTTCACTACTCTATAAGACAACAATATTTTAATTTTAATTAAATGATTAAAATATTTTATATCAAGAAGAAGTGCAACTGTTATAAAAAGTAACCAAATACATCTAGAGGTGTTCATATGTTTCATCATAACAATGAAAATATAGCATAATTCCATCAGATTTGCCGTTTTTATACATATATCTCTTGAAGCTAGTAACTATCACTGAGGAAACCCCTACAAGGAAACAAAATGACATCTGTTATCTAGATATGGAGAAAGTAATTTCAAAGACATTCAAAGATGCCTATAGACAAGGGAATAGTAGAGAAATCTCAGTGAGCAACAAAGTATACGAATGGGTGCAAAACTCACAATGAACATTTTATAAATAAAAGGAGGCAGGCAGAAACCTATGGAAATGCTATATCCTTTTATTCAGGCTTGCATTGTTCTCCCTGATAGTGAAGAAAATTGTTTACAAAAGTAATTTAATATGAACAACTGTAATGCCATTTTACATCTTACAGAGAATAACTGAACTGATGTAATAGCAATAGCATTAGCACTTAGACTTATATACCACTGCAGTGTTTTACAGCCCACTCTAAGCAGTTTATAGAGTTAGTATATTGCCCCCAACAATCTGAGTCCTCATTTTACTGATCTCTTTTACTGAAGGATGGAAGGCTGAATCAACTTTGAGTTGGTCAGGATCAAACTGCTGGCAATTGGCAGAATTAGCCTGCAATACTGTGTTCTAACCACTGTGCCACCACGGCACACGGCAAAAATACTCACAACAATAGATATGTGGAGATTGTTGTAAAAAATAGCCAGGAGGTTTTTTTTTAATAAGAACATTCTTCTTAGTCTGAAAAGTAACCAAATTTTAGAAAAAAAATCATTTTTATTGTTTACTATTTTTTAATGAAAAGATCTCTAGAGCAGGGCTGTCAAACTCATGGCCTGCGGGTCAGATGTGTCACATGCTGGCCCTGCCAACATCCAGTTTAGTGAAGGGGGGAAAGTCCTAATACATCACATGACATCGCCGTGATGCTGCGGGTTTCACACCTCTGCACTAAAGCCACGGCCTGTTTGGAATCAAACATTGCAAGTGGTGGGTAAGTGTGTACAGTGCACGCACACATTTGCATGCAAATTTCAATTTGTTCAAGCATCAGGCATGTGCCCCTGCTTGCACAAATGCACCTGCCACTTGCACAGAACCATTTCCTTTCCGCTTCCCACCAGTCCACCAAGTTGTAAAGGTTGGGACCACTAATATAGAATCATACTGGAGTTAGACAGCCTGCAAATCTAAAATAACAGCAACAATAATTCCTTGTTAGAAGAAGCCACAATAAGAGTAAAACAACAAGAAAGGGGGCTATGTGCATTGTTGCCTACAGTTTTTCCTCTTTATTCCTCAATACAGCAAGCATTACACCATAAACACCATAATTGTATTTGTCTCATTTGATATGGAACTTCATTCAAGTAAAAAATATTGTTTATAACTGTAAAATGCAAAAATAAAAAAAAATATTTCAAAATAGGTGTTAATGTGAGGGAAAATCCACATCAGGATATATTTAAGAATTATCACTTCATGGCCTTATAAAGTTTATTGTATGGTATCATACCAGAGAAACCTGTATTAAACTTGGTTATAGACATCATGGTTACAGACATTTTAAGTTATACCGCCCCCCCCTTTTTTTAAAGTACTGTTGTAGCTGTTTCACTACACTGGTTCCCTGTGAAAGCTAATTTTTCTTACAGTTCAAATATTTATGGCCAAATTCCTGCTAATTTAACAGCAATTTGAATAAGATTTTTACACAATTTGTTTATCTCCCCCCCCCCCATCATTTCCAGAAAAATGACTTCATAGCACTGATTATCACATGTAGTTCAGTGGTTAAAGTGTTAGACTAAAACTCAAGAGATCAAGCTGTAAGTTCATCTTCAGCTATGAAAATTCACTGGAGAACTTTGTGCTATCATTACAACTTATCAGATATTTCCTTGAATGTGTGGAAAGCACAAAGTGGAACAAGGCATGATTTGTGCTGAGACAAGTCCTTTTTTTGTCTGTAGAGAAAGGAAACCTGGAGATCGGAATATACTCATATTGACTTGAAGGCAAGGACACGTGTTAGATAACTCAGAACATACTAAAATAGGGCCCTGGATCCCATCTCAGTATATTGACATCCAGACCAACATGAATACAAGTAATCCTTGACTTATAACATTTCATTTAGGACCATTCAAAGCTACAATGGCACTGAAAAAATGACTTATGTCCATTTTTTAACCCTTATGGCCACTTCAGCATCCCCATGGTCACGTGATCAAAATTCAGACACTTTGCAATGGACTCATATTTATGATGGTTGCAGTGTCCTGGGGTCATATGATCACTTTTTGTAACCTTCTGACAAGCAAAGTCAATGGGGAAGCCCTCTGGCTTCCACAGCAGTTAAGTTAAAACACGGTTATTAAGTGACTCTTCACTTAATAACCGTGTTTTAACTTAACAAGTGCTGTGATTCACTTAACAACTCTGTCAAGAATGGTTGTAAAATGGGGGAAAAGTGACTTAAATGTTGCACTTAGCAACAGAAATTTTGGGCTCAACTGTGGTCATAAATTGAGGATAGCTTCTCTTCATCATTTCCATCTTAATGGAAGCTGAAAAGAAGCATGCATTCTACTGTGTCCTAAGTTTGAGCTCTTTATTAGTTAGTTTTCAACCTAACTCGCTTCATAGTAAGGTTATTGTGGGGGAAATTAGAAGAAAAAAGTACTGGATATACAAATTGTCCGGAAGAAAACTCTAGCAAATAAATTGATCTTGCTACCTTCTTCTTGGAAGACATTTCAACTGGAACCTCTTGTACTACACAGATAAGATAAACTCTTCATGCAAAAAATCATTTAAGCTACATAAGTGTCTCAATATCTGCATACTAAATGCACAGTTATTAAATATTTTATTGTATTATGTTGATACTTCTAAGCTGGAATGAACAAAGATAAATAAACATACCTACAAACATTTCAAGATATTGAGTTTATTAGCATCTATTTACAGAAGCAAAGTGTCAGTTTTGTAATAATTTTAAAATATTATGCTTAAAAATTATATTTAAGCAGGGGAATATTAATGCAGATAAGCATACAATAAGTGAAGGAAAAACATTTAACAACCAGCCATTTTAAAAAGTACCAAAATTGGCATATGGAGCAGTAAAATGGTATTCCATTTTTCCTGAAATTTATTTACTACATAAAGATCAAAAGAAAGCATATATAAATGACTCTAGTAGCAGAGCCAGGCTGATATTATTTTTCTCTTTATAAAGCTCTCCTGAATTCTCTTTTCCAAAGGTTTTTTCAACAGTTTAATTATGGCGAAAGGGGAATCTTTTGCTTTAGCTATGGTTTTCTATATTTCTAATATTTTAATATATTTAGTCAGCTCAATGCTCACATATATTAAGTCAAGTAAAAACAAGAAAATATACTTTAGAAAAATCTAAACATGAGGTAGATAAAGGAAGTCATTCAACAGAACAGAAATTAGAAAACAAACTCTTGCTGACTGTGCAAATTGGTCTAGTTGGCACTTAGACTTACCTACCACTTCACAGTGATTTAAAGTGCTTTATATACATAGTGCCTTTAGCTCTTTGGGACTGAAAGAGGAGAAATAAGCAGAACAAACATATGTAGATTTTAATTCCATTTAGAAAGTGCTGAGAAATTATTCCCTGCTCCTTTGGTCACTTTTTTAATTAATTTTTTTTATTTTCAAAACAAACATACAAATCTTCCTTCTTTACATACTGTAGAAAGGTATCAGTTGATTACAAAAGGCTTTTGTGCATCTCTTCCACCGTCATCAAATATAATTCATATTAATTCTAATATCTTAACACAGATATTTATTATATTACCTCCACTTTTATTTGATTATGATTATTTAAACGTCCTTCATCATAAAATATACCAAGATTTAATACATAACCACATAATGGCATTTCATTTACTTATTTATAAAATCCTCCATTAACATTAAATCCTCATATCCTGTTCTAGCTAAACATCCATAATATTTAATACCAAAATTTTCTAATCCTCCATGTATATAATTTATCATTATACTTTCTTTAACTATATCCTATATCATAACATTTTCCCCCTATTAGTTAAAAC